CTGCCAATTCAGGACCATAGTATTGGGGGACACCAGGATCACTTGGCACAACATAATACATAAAAATCTTGTTCCACAACCTAGTTTGGTAAGTAGTGACTGGGGTCTTAAAAGCTATCAAGTGGCCATCTAAGATGCAGCTAATGGTCTCCTCTTGTCTGAAGTGAAGAAAACCAAGGGCATTTGGAAATCACCAGCCTTAGGATATGATGGACCTTGAGACCAGAAGAACTAGTTGGTGCCCAGCTACCAATGCCAACCACTCAGGAAGGGATCAAAACTGGAGATCCTGGATAGAGTGGGAGGAAAAATGAGGAACAAATTCAAAAACACAATAATGAAAAATTACTGGTCAGATGGAGTCTTCTGGGACCCCCCAGACTATGGCCCTGGGATACACTTCGGGCCTGGGATCAGACTCACTCCCAAGGGCTGGCTTTCACCCCAACAGTAGTAAGACTTACATGCAGAACATCCAACCCAGGGCGATGCATCCACCTACTCTACGGAGATACACCCCTTGGAGCAATCTGCCATGGGGCACCAGAGGGGCAGCATTCACATGGAGGGAAAGCTGGACAGACAGGAGGGAATAAGTAAGAAGGACACAAGAATGAAGTAGTCACAGGGAAAGGAGAGGAGGAGAGTGTGTTAGGGTTGGGGATGGTAACTGGGGAGTGAAACCAAATGTACACAACTGCTGAATGTAAACCAAATTCTGCCATGTAAATTTGTACTCAAAGCACAATAAAAAAAAATACTGCCTCACAATTTTTCTAGAGAATTTATCTTTATCTTAAAATAATATTTTGAAAGAAATGCATTTTCCCTACTGTCATATACACATACCTGAATAAAATGTTTTTATCATTGGATATATATATATATATAAAAAGGGGGGGAGAAAGCATTAGAAAAAGACTCAGTGCTGTGAAAATGTCAAAAATACCCAAAACAATCTGCAGATACAATTCTGATCTACATTGCACTACCATTTTTTGAAGAGGTGGAAAAACTAATCACCGATTTTATATGGAAAAAGAAACCCTGAATAAGGAAAGCATTACTGGAGAAGAACAACAAAGTAGGAGGCCTCATACTTCCTTAAAAATTTGGAAACAGAAATACATATATGATCCAGGAGTCCCAATACTAGGTATATATCCTACAGAAGAAAGAGCAGTGACATGAATAGATAATGCACACCCAAGTTCATCACCACATTGTTCACAATGGCAAAAAGATGGAAACACCCTAAGTGCCAATCAATGGACAAATGGATATATAAACAATACCAAAATAAAAAACAATGGAATACTATGCAATGTTAAAGAATAGTGATGAATCTGTGAAACACTTCATAACATGGATGAACCTGGATGACATTATGCTGAGTCAAATTAGTCAATTACAAAAGGATAAATATTATATTAGATCACTATTATTAAAAGTCAATAAAACATTTACAAACAAACATTCTTTGAAGGCTTCCAGGGTATGGTGCAGTGAATTACTTAGTATAGCTCTTCTAGCCATAGTCTTTGTGGCACCCACCAGATGACTGGGTGGAACTATGCAAATGTAAGGTGATTGGGAGCTCTGGTAGCATAGCTCCTAAAGCATTTGACTGCTAACCAGAAGGCTGGCAGTTCCAACCCACCAGCCACTCCTTGGAAGGAAGACTGGGCAATCTACCTCCATAGAGATACTATCTTGAAAACCCAAGGAGGGGTCACTGTGACTCAATTCAATGGCAATGAGTTTGGTTTGAGTTTCAGTGTGGCCCACCAAAAGATTTGATAGCTTGTTAGTAATGTAAGTAAAGTACACGGCACCCTTGGGGGGGGGGATATGCACATAAGGTGCACAGAACCTAATATGTGGATTGGACAGTTATGCCATCCTGCTAGGCTTAAAATGAGCCCTCTCAGGGGCAGAAGGTGGATCTCACTGCCATCAAGAGACAAGACCTGGAGATGGAGTGAAGCACGTGCTTTGACCCAAGATCCCTGCACTGGACCTCCTTGGCAGAGAGACTAGCACAAAGATGGTGACAGCAGGATTATGAGACCAGCAGGAGACAAAGCAGCGAGTGGGCTTGCCGGTTCACAGAGCAAGAAAACTGAGTGTCTTTGAGCAGGAGGCTTGCTGGTGGAGTAGGATGCACCTAGGTGGACCTATCAGCAGACCTGAAAGAGCTTTGAAATACTTGCCTGAGCAGGGCAGAGGCCAAGCCAAGAGGCAAAGGGTCAAAGGGAAGTGAGTCTGTGGGTATGCAGAAAGGAGGCTGTCCTGATCAAAAACCTATATCCTGAGTGGTCCTGAACCTGAAGTGTAACCTGATGTTTCCCTAGCAAATCCCATAATTGTGAATATTGTCTGTGACTCTATGGCAGTGGTTTTGGTTTGGTTTGTATGTAACATAAAGCTATGATCTGCTGGTAGCTCCCAAAGAAATCAATAAAATGCTTAACTTTTCATTCAAAAGTTGTTATTTTATTATTTGTCTTTTTGAAATAGAGATTAAGATGGTTAGGATGAAGATATGGAGGAAAATAATGAGTATTTGCTGAGAATATTTCCATTATGAAACAACTTTATCACTTAATTATTCTTCCACAAAGTACTGTAATTTTCAGGGGTTCAGTGAGCTAATCATTATCTAAAAGTTAAAATAAAATAAAAAATGTTTAAATAACTGCCACAGGGAAAAGAACTCTAGGTAGTGAATTAAATTTCTTCATTTGGCTTCCATTAAAAATTCTAAAGATACCTTTATGTAGGGGAAAAAATTCAAAGACTAAATTGAAATTTTAAAGAAGAAAATAAAACAATAACTTTAAATCAATGACATCACTAATAATGTTATGTTAGAATGTTATTGTAACATGTTCAAAAGTAAGCAGGATCCTCCCCTTAACTATGTTGGTTACTATCACTTCTACCTTTCTTTGGATCAGAAGAAACTCTCCCATAAACCTGTAGTTGGGAAATACCTTAAGTCACAACTTCTGGTTTTGTAAAAAGAATGAGTACCACACTTACATTTATACATATCAAGTACTTCATTTATATTACATTTACTTAAAATGATGGAAACCTATATTAAGTGATAAAGTATTGATAAAGATTGGACAAATGATTTAATCTCTCTGTTCCTGAGATCTTACCTCTAAAATGAGGATAGCATTATTGTAAGAATAAAATAAAAAATGTTAAGTACAAGGAAAAAGTTCTTGTCTTGTACTAAGTGTTCAGAGAATGTTAGCTCTTATGTTTACTTACTCTTTTGTTGAGACAAATAACAGGCCACAGGCTACAACCCAGCGTGCAACAGCAGCAGAGACAACCGCAAAGCAGCCACTTCACATTGACTGGAAGAGCCTTTCTCAAACATGCATTCACACGGCCAATGCTGGTTTTAAATTCTTCTGGGGCCACCTATAACAACAAGGGTATACTCTTTAATAGTTTGTGAGCAGTTTTTCACAAATCTCTAAACCTAAGGAAAATGTTTTATTCCTTAGTAAAAATACTTAAAGCATTTAAAAATGTATAAATATATTTCCTCTCTCTCTCCTTCCATAAATAAATATGTATTATACATTCTTGTATGGCATAAGACAGTAAAACAGTATAATTTTATGTTCACAAAACCTAGCCTGATTTTCAAAAAACCACCTTCTAAAATGACCAAAAATAAAATGACAAAAATAAAATTGATGGTAAATCATACCTGTTAGGCAGTTTTGTTACCAATTATTCTCATTATTAAAGCAGTATTATTTACAGTCTTCAATCACTCTGACCAAAAGTTGAGTAAGACTAGAAGCATAAAACACAACAAAAACCCATACAACACAAGGAAATGTAATTAAAATTCGACCTTAGCAATATTTCTGGATTACTTTCATAAAGGTAACTCTCAATCATTTTCTCTGTGGCAAATTTGCAACATATCAATTTTATCATTTGTCACTATTTACAAGGAAAGGATACACTAATGAAAAATAATGCTGAGTGATTACACTAAAACTATTAATATTTAGAATAAAATGGACTCATAACTAATACAAATTTTGAAAGGTGGAAGGTCCTTAAATACATAAATTTAACATTTCTAAATACTACTTCCATTCCTGGAAATGGCTGCTTGTGCCTATCTATAAACAATGACCAAGTCAGTTCAATGGCATAATATTTATACCATCGACAGCCAAAATTTATACCAAATATTCTCCTTGAAGGTAATACCATCCAAAAGTATACTAAAAATAGTTTTCTTCCATTTAATTGACATTTCTGGAACACAAAAGTGATTCCTTTTCATGTAGAAAGCTGCCAGACTGTAAAATATATGGGAAAATATATTGCATAGGGTTATGAAAGCAATAACTATTAAATTGCTGGGAAAAATAAGCTGTTGTAAAATAAAACCCCCACTAGTACATTTGGTATGAAAAATATGAGTTTTATGGCTCTTCCAAATAAAAATTTTACCAGAACAATCAATTTATTATAGGCAGTTCCAGATTACAAACGAGTTTCATTCTTACATTGCTCTTTACGTTGAATTCATACACTGTCAGAACAGTTATGTAGGTTCGTATATAACATCAATGAGTCAAATGTTTGTCTTAGTATATGTAGTGTACCTTTCTATGGATAAAAACATTAAAGAAACACTCTCAGATACACTAAAATATATCTAACATAATGATACAGTAATATTAATAATGTTTGATGCGACTTGCAAAGTAGCACCCATTTGTTATTACAAGCCACTGTGTGTACCTCAAATTTTTAATAAGCTTTATGTGGGTTGGTTCAGCTACATAAGTCCGATGCTAGTATCCCAAAGACTGCCTGTACATTTTGGTTTTTAATACAGGTATCTTTGAATTATTGTTGTTAGGTGCTATGGGGTCATTTCTGACTCAGAAACTCTATGGACAACAGCAAAATTTGTTTTACACTCAACAGTTCATGTACATTTGATTTCATGCCCCAATTACCATCCCCAACCATAACTCTCCTCCTCTCCTGTCCCGGTGACTACCCCTTCCCTGTGCTCTTCTTAACTATGTGCTCCTGTCTGTCCAGCTTTCCCTCTATGTTGAATGCTGCCCCTCTGGTGCCCTACGGCCGATTGCTCTAAGGGTGTATCTCCCTAGAGTAGGTGGGTGCATCACCTTGGGACAGGTGTTGTGCATGTAGGTCTTTCTACTGTTGGGCTGAGAGCCAATCCATGGGAGCGAGTCCAATTCTAGGCCCAAAGGGTAACCCGGGGCCATAGTCTGGGGAGGGGGGTTCCACCAGACTCTATCTGACCAGTAATCCTGGTCATTTTTGTGCTTTTGGATTTTGTTCCACATTTTTCCTCCCACTCTATCCAGGATCTCCAGGTTTGATCCCTTTCCAAGCAGTTGGCATTGGTAGCCAGGAACCATCTAGTCCTTCTGGCCTCAGGGTCCATCATACCCTTGGACTAACTGTTTCCAGATGTCTTTGATTTTCTTCACTCTTCTTTGCTTCACATGAGAGTAGACCAATAGTTGTATTTTAGATGGCTGCTTGAAAGCTTTTAAGACCCCAGTCACTACCCACCAAAGCAGGTTGTGGAACAAGATTTTTATGTGTTGTGCCAACTGAGCTTGGTGTCCGCCAAGACTATGGTTCAGAGTTGGCAGGCCCGGTGACTCTCTCTCTCTCAAGCTCTCAACGTGTCTAGTTGTCTCCAACTCTGTCTTGCTTTTGTAGTAAGTGTGGCTTGTTTTGTAGCACAAGTGTATATGTAAGATTATCTTCAGCTAAATCTAACCTTGGTGTAGGGTTTATTACTGTTCGCTGACCCCCACCTGGTCTTCTCAGTTGTCTATGCATTTATCTGTAGTCTAGTGTTTGGTGTTAGTGGTGATGAAGTACTGTGCATATACTAGTATTTGCCTCTGTTGTCTGTATCTTCCATGCATGTTTCAGTGTCCTTCCTTTCTCCAATGTCATCATGCTGGTCACAGACTCTTACCATACCATCCCTCTCCTTACCCAAATCAACATGTGACCCCCAACTGGTCCAAAATTTTCTTTTCCATTCCCTCCCATCCCCGGTAACCAACAAAGTGAGCTCCCTTCCCTAAGCAAACCCTTCCTTGACTTTTTACAGTAATGGGCTCATACAATATTTTCCTTGTTTGATTGACTTATTTCACTCAGCATAATGTCCTCCAGATTCATCCATGTTGTGAGATGAGTCATGTATTCTTCATTATTCTTTAATATACCATAGTATTCCTTTGTGTGAATGGACCATAGTTTGGTTATCCATTCATCTGTTGATGGGCATTTAGGTTGTTTACACCTCTTTGCTATAGTGAATTGTGCTGCAATGAACATGTCTGT